CCCATAGGGAGCCCCACCGAAGGCCCCAGAGGGAGGGCCGACATGCTTTACCCCACCCATTTTGGCACACCCCGAAGGCGTTTCGCTTCGTGGCCCCATGGGGAGCTCCACCGAAGGCCCCAGTGGCACAGTCCACTGAGGTTCATGCCGTTCCCCATTAATTTCGGAACACCCTTGCATCTTTCGTGGCGCAATAGGCAGCGCCAACGAAGGTCCCAGTGGCACATTCCACATTGTGCTCTCCACCCATTTGGCGTACGCACACACGCACGCACGCACGCACGCACGCACGCACGCACACACAAACATACACACACAAGCACGCACGCACGCACGCACGCACGCACGCACGCACGCACGCACGCACGCACGCACGCACGCACGCACGCACGCACGCACGCACGCACACACACACACACACACACACACACACACGCACGCCCACGCCCACGCCCACGCCCACGCCCACGCCACGCCCACGCCCACGCCCACGCCCACGCCCACGCGCACGCGCACGCGCGCACGCGCACGCGCACGCGCACGCGCACGCGCACGCGCACGCGCACGCGCACGCGCACGCGCACGCGCACGCGCACGCGCACGCGCACGCGCACGCGCACGCGCACGCGCGCACGCGCACACGCACACGCACACGCACACGCACACGCACACGCACACGCACACGCACACGCACACGCACACGCACACGCACACGCACACGCACACGCACACGCACACGCACACGCACACGCACACGCACACGCACACGCACACGCACACGCACACGCACACGCACACGCACACGCACACGCACACGCACACGCACACGCACACGCACACGCACACACACGCACACGCGCACACGCGCACACGCACACGCACACGCACACGCACACGCACACACCACGCACACACCACGCACACACGCACACACGCACACACGCACACACGCACACACGCACACACGCACACACGCACACACGCACACCCGCACACACGCACACACGCACACACGCACACACGCACACACGCACACACACACACCACAAACACATATATACACACACACGCACGTCTCGTGGCACAACAAGGGACTTGACAGACGGTCCCAGCAGCAACGTCTGCATGCGCCCCCCCGCCCCTGTCGGCGCACCTCGCACAACTTCCGTGGCCCCACAAGGAGCTCCACCGAAGGCCCAATCTGCAAAGTCCGCATGTGTCCCCCCTTCTTTGTCGACACGCCCCTCACGCGCTTTGTGGCCTCACAGGGAGCTCCACCGAAAGCGGTACCCACAATGCGGTATTCACACAATTGCATGTGGTTGGGTCTTTCGCCAGGATAACTTCAATCCGCGGCCGCGGCCCCAGGCTTCCCGACCCCTTCCCAGGGAGTAGTCTTTAGCCGCAGATCCTCTTTTGATGGCCCCAGGACCCCAGCGGCCAAAATCGAGGAACACCGCCAGGATTGAACAATATGTTGTCCAGCGTGGGCCCAACACAGGGAGTTGTTGCATTGTGGAGATGACATATGGTGTGCAAGCTATGGCTATGTTGTCTAAGCTTTGCGGTGCGAGCTATGTGGTGCAAGCTATGTGGTGAGAGCTATGCGATGTGAGCGGTATGAGCTATGTGGTCTAAGCTATGAGATGCTATGCTATGTGAGCTGTAAGGTATGGGCTAGGCTGTGTGGTCTAAGCCGTGTTGGGTATGGTGTGTGGTGCGAGCTGGATAGTTGTGAGCTGTATTGTGTACTACATGCGGTGTGAGCTATAGGGAGCGAGCTATGCTGTGTGAGCTATGGTGTGTGAGAGATGTGGTGTGAGCTTCGAGTTGCAGGCGATGTTGCGGAAGCTACATGGTGTGAGCTAGGTTGTGTAAGCTGTGCCGTGTGAGCGCACGGGGCGCCCACGAGGCGCTCTCGGGCGCACGGCGCACGGCAGGCGAAACTTCGGGAAACCAGCCGAGCGCGGGGCGCCCACGAGGCGCCCGCCGGCCGGGCACCGGCCGAACACCCAGGAAGCCGATGCGGCTCCTCGAGCACAAGAACTCATGAGCCCCCTCAAGTGCAAGCCCTCACGAGTTCTCGTGCCCGAGGGGCTCATGGGCCCCTCGAGCACGAGAGCTCATGAGCCCGGCGCCACGATGCTTCATGTCCTCGGCCCCCAGCAAAAGGTACCGAGACCGCTATCGCTCCCAGGGTGCGTTCTGACCAGATTTTCGAGGCGGAGCCAACCTCGGCGACGAGGGCCTCCCAAGAGTCCTCCAAAAAGGGGGGATCAAGGGAACGGTAGCGGTATGGGTCGACCCATTCCCCGGGACCCTTTTTTTCACCCCGAAGAGAGAACAACTCTCCGTCGTGATTTGGGTCCCTGACTCGGCGGCGAGCGAGGGGGGGAAGCGAGAAGGGGCGGGCCTTCTCGAAAGGCTCGGAAGACCCCCGGCCTTCTGAGAAGCTTTCGAAGCCTTCTCCGAAGACAGAAACAACAACTTCTCAGAAGGCGCGAGGGCTTCCGAGAAGCCCCGCCCGCCATCTGGGGAGGCCTTCTCCCTCTCACTTCCCCCCCTCGTTCGCCGCCGGCGGGCTCGAGAGGGGGCCGGGGCCTGCGGGCAGCCACGACCCGAAAAACGGCGGAGAGCTGGCCCCCGTGTGCGCGCCGCCGGCCCCCATGCTCGCGCGGCCCGCGCCTCCGGGTCGCGCGGCCCCCTCCGCAGCTCCGCGGCGGCCGCGGCCGCGCGGCGCGGCCAGAGGCGGAGGGCGGCGCCGTCCGGCGGGCGCGCCAGGCTGCCCGGCGGCGCCGCGGCTTCCAGGCGACGACCGAGCGGGACGAACGGGGGGGAAGCGGGGAGACGTCAGGCTGGAGCTCGCCGGAGCTCGGATTGTTCCACGCTGCGAGACGGACCCGGCCTGGGCTGTGACGGCCCGCTTCCCGTGAGACGCCTGCAGCGGGAGTTCGCGTCAGCTTGCCGGCTGGGTCTCATCAGTCTCCGGACGGCCCGTCAGGCCGGCACCGTTCCCCCTTGACCCGAGCCTGCCGTCTCCCCGATGGGAGGGTTCCGGGTCGGGTTCCGGGCCGAGGGCGGGCCGGCCGGATTGTCAGCCTCGCTGCTGGGCCTCCGGAGGGCGCCGTCGCGGCCGCGGCCGGATGCGCCTCGGCATCCTGGTCAGAACGCACCCCAGAGCAGGGCTGTCAGGAGGGGAGAAAACACACGGACACGATGAACCATTGATCCCCAGGAAAAGATGGGAAAATATGGGGAGTGGGGGGGAAGACGAAAGCACATAAGATATGGGGGATCCTGCTATTTGTGTCTATTTCTTTGTGTGTCCCAGGGCCCCTTCAGTATGGGGGTCCACTTTTGGCCCCCGGGCCCTGACTTCCTCGCGTGGTGACAGAGTCACAGCCGGATTTCTCGGCAGGCCTCTGGGGGGGCCCTTGCCGGGCCCTTGGGCCGTCAACCAGCAGAACGGCTCGGTATGAAAAACAGGTCCCTAAAGAGGGGTCCAGGGGAGCCTCGTTGCGAACGAAATTGCGACGTGAGTTGAAGGTCGAAGCTAGAGATTTGTTATGTCATACATCTATGTGTTGGTATAGAAATGTATGCACATGTATCTCCCTCTCTAAATCTATGTATGTATGTATGTATGTATGCATGCATGCATGCATGCATGCATGCATGTTTGTATGTATGTGTGTGTGTATGTATGTATGCATGTATGTATGCTCAGGCCTGCTTGGGCCTCCTGGGGCGACCTCGCCGCCACGTCTGGATGCGCATCGGTCAGAACGTCCCCCCTCCGACTTCTTGATGTACTCAGGGCGGATGTCTTTTCGCCACTCCCGGTCGCTTCTCATCTCCCCGGGGCCGTCGAAGCAGCTCTGGATGATAATCAAGCAGTGGCGAAGCGTCCTGGCTTCCCTATAGGCCTACCAAGCAATGTTCTAAGAACCATTTGTGGTTCCCACGAAATGTTCTGAGAACCGTTTGTGATTCCCACGAAATGTTCTTAGAACAGTTCTGGGTTGGACTGTCTTGTTTTGACACATCGGGCTTATGTTCTAAGAACATTGTTTTTGTTATTCGATTTGTTGGGTTCTAAGAACATTTCGTGGTAGGCCTATAGAAATGCCGGGACGGTCGGTCCCTGCTCAACTGGGGCCGTCGAAGCAGCTCTGGATGAGAAGCTGGTCCTCAGGTCCAGACATCCGACGTCGTCGACGTCGTGTTTCTGTTCGCAAATTGGCCCGCCAGATCCATATCATTGGATACCGTGTGTATATATATATACACCTATACTCCGTCGCGATCGGTAGCGACCGATGGGCAATCCAAACCGGTCGAGACCGATCGCGAACGGCCAGTCGATACCGATCGGTCGCGACTAATTTTGAATAAGATCGATCGCGACTGATCTCGGACTTTGAAGCCAAACTGGTAGCGACCGGTTTCGCCGGTCGCGACTGGAAAGTTCCAGTGTATCCACTGATCAGGGGGGGGGGGTCTGGACCCACTCCCCATTCAGTCGTTCCCTGACGGCCCCTGAGCCCGGCGAGGGCCCCCAGAGTCCCAGCACTGCCCAGACGCATCCTGGCGCGATCTCCTCCCGACGCGGGGAGGTCGGGCAATCAGGGTGCGGGGGGGGGAGGGAGGAGGAGGAGGAGGAGGAGGAGGAGGAGGAGGAGGAGGAGGAGGAGGAGGAGGAGGAGGAGGAGGAGGAGGAGGAGAGGAGGAGGAGGAGGAGGAGGAGGAGGAGGAGGAGGAGGAGGAGGAGGAGGAGGAGGAGGAGGAGGAGGAGGAGGAGGAGGAGGAGGAGGAGGAGGAGGAGGAGGAGGAGGAGGAGGAGGAGGAGGAGGAGGAGGAGGAGGAGGAGGAGGAGGAGGAGGAGGAGGAGGAGGAGGAGGAGGAGGTGGATGGGCCGAGAGGCCCTGAGGCTCCGTGCCGGAACCAAGCCGGGCCGGTCGGAGGCGTCTGGGCCCCCAGGCGCGGTGCCAGGCCGCCCTATGGACATCGGCGCCGCGGAGCCCAGCGCGGCCGGCGGCAGGTCCTGCACGCGACCTCCTGGCCGCCCAAAGGGGTCAGAGTGCGGAAGGTTCGTGTCGTGTCGACGCGGCAGCGACCCCGCCGCGGGCGTTCCGAGTTGACCGCCGCCTCTAGCACAGAAGCGGGCAACAGGGAAGGATCTGGCGATCGAGAAGCTGCCGATTGTTCAGGGCTGGACGATCCACGTGGTGTCAGGAGGAGACGCCAGGGTCGTCACGACACGAACCTGCCGCAGATGGGGTCGGAGGATCGCTCCACACCGCCGATGTATCGGCGATGCGACTTTACTTGAAGCCCGATTTTTCCTTCGCATCGCGGACGTCGCGGACGCATCGCCGATGCATCGGCGATGCGGCGCGATTCTCCGACCCCATCTGCTCGAACCTCATGTAGGAGGCTTCTAATTACGGCCCGCTCGCGAGCCACCAGTGTTGATGGGCCTGTTTTCCACCACCACTACCATAAGCTGGAGGGGGAGGGGGTCCTCCTTCTCCTTCTCCTTCTTGTCCTCCTCCTCCTCCTCCTCCTCCTCCTCCTCCTCTTCCCCCCTCCAGCTGATGGTGGTGGTGGTGGTGGACAACATGGCCATCAAGTGCTCCCTCAGATCCCGGGGCCGTGGCCAGCTGGTTTCTGAGAAGGCCTCGCCGTTGGCGCCGTCGCGCCCTCGGCGGAAGCAGGGGGCGGAAGCAGGGGGCGGCAGCGGGGACCTCCGCCGGCGGTGGGGGGGGCGGAGGGCGGCGGGAGCAGTCGTGAGACACGGCAGTTGTGGAGCAGGGGGAGGAGGAGGAGGGGGAGGAGGAGGAGGAGGAGAGGAGGAGGAGGAGGAGGAGGAGGAGGAGGAGGAGGAGGAGGAGGAGGAGGAGGAGGAGAGGAGGAGGAGGAGGAGGAGGAGGAGGAGGAGGAGGAGGAGGAGGAGGAGGAGGAGGAGGAGGAGGAGGAGGAGGAGGAGGAGGAGGAGGAGGAGGAGGAGGAGGAGGAGGAGGAGGAGGAGGAGGGAGGAGGAGGAGGAGGAGGAGGAGGAGGAGGAGGAGGAGGAGGAGGAGGAGGAGGAGGAGGAGGAGGAGGAGGAGGAGGAGGAGGAGGAGGAGGAGGAGGAGGAGGAGGAGGAGGAGGAGGAGGAGGAGGAGGAAGGGGAGGAGGAGGAGGAGGAGGGGGAGGAGGGAGGAGGAGGAGGAGGAGGAGGGGGGGGGAGGAGAGGAGGAGGAGGAGGAGGAGGAGGGGAGGAGGAGGAGGAGGAGGAGGAGGAGGAGGAGGAGGAGGAGGAGGAGGAGGAGGAGGAGGAGGAGGAGGAGGAGGAGGAGGGAGGAGGAGGAGGAGGAGGAGGAGGAGGAGGAGGAGGAGGAGGGGGAGGAGGAGGAGGAGGAGGAGGAGAGGAGGAGGAGGAGGAGGAGGAGGAGGAGGAGGAGGAGGAGGAGGAGGAGGAGGAGGAGGAGGAGGAGGTGGAGGAGGAGCAGGAGGTGGAGGCGGAGGAGGAGCGTGAGGGGGAGGAGGACAAGCTTGGTGCGCTCGCGTTATATCTGTCGTCATGCCCCTGCCTCCCGACCCTTACCATGGCGCGGATCTCCTCCTTCTGCGCACAGGCTGATGTCGAGCAAGGCAGTGATCCCGAGAGCTTTTGCGATGCATGGTAAAGCACGGCATAGCATGGTTTAGAAGAGCGCGGCATAGCAGAGCATGACATAGCATGGCTTGGCATGGCGTAGTGTAGCATTGCATCACAAAGCGTAACATCGCAAATCATGGCATCGCACAGCGGAGCACAACGCAACATCGCATTGCATGCTATGGCATGGCACCGGATGCCTTGGAAGGTAAATGGCCCGTGTGCGAAAGGAGAAGGTCTGTCTGGAATCCCGGATCCATGTCCTGCGCAACCGTGCCTGCCCGATGTGGGTGCTTTCGAATGCCAAGTGCTGTCTGGTAGGGGCACTGTCATAGCGTAAGGCCCCCCCCTTCCTTTCGACACGCTGCCTTGCGTTCCCCAAGCCCCTTTCCAAGTCTCACTGGGATCCCCGGACAGCTCTGCACGAAGCGTGGCGGATGGCCCGAAGACTTCCGGAAGCTCCGGGGAACGCACAGAAATTGCCGACGGCGACAACGACGCAGACGACGACGGCAGCGGCGACGGGGGAAGCTGCGGCGAGCGAGGATGGATGTCAGGGAAGAGTTCGGCGGGCTGCCAGGCTCGATGGTCTGGCTTCCTTGAACAGTCGGCTCACACTGGGCCCCTGGACCCCTCACGGGGTCAAGTCGTATCGGCGCCTTAAGGTCCCTGGGGGGGTTCTACGGCCCTAAAAATCAACGAATCGACACCGAATGTGTAATCACTTCCGATTGTTTTCTCGTGAGGCAATTTTATAGATTTGGGGGCCTATTTGGAAGGACCGAAAACCACGCCGTGGCATGGCGCTGGAAATGATGACGCCAGCGCTGCAGCGGGAGCACGATTCCCGGGAATCCTGTGTGTAAAAAGCCAATACGCGGAGGGGGGCTGGACATTTCCCAGACGTCGCAAGGGGAGAGAAGAGAGTAGTATTCATATTAAGTAATTGGATGATGATGATGATGATGATGATGATGATGATGAGGAGGAGGAGGAGGAGGAGGAGGAGGATGAAGAGGAGGAGGAGGGGGAGGAGGAGGAGGAGGAGGGGGAGGGGGAGGGACGAGAGGAGGCAAACGGGCTCGGGGTTTCCGGGATCGCCGAGATCACGAGCGGCACCTCTGCCCCGTCCCCTGCCGCGGGGCGCTCACGACCCGATCCGCCCCGCGGGGTGGGGAGCTCCAGGACGTGGCCTCTGGCCTCCACGATGTAGCCGCCGTGACGATTCGTTCCACGGCGTCGGGCTTCACGGAGCCGAATGTCCGGAGCAGAAGCAAGGCCCGTTTCGATCCGATCCGGTTCGACATCGATCTTGTCTGGCCTGATCGGATTCCGTTCCGATGCTGCAGCGGTCCGATGCGGCCCGATACCTGCGTGGCGCTGTTGTGCATCCTGGCGCGGCAGATCCGACTCGAATTCGACCACGTGGCGGTTGCAGCCCAGTCTGGCGCACGTGCCGATCCGATTGACTTGTTTGGGGCGGTCAAGAGGGGGTGATGACTAGATGGGGTTGGATATCATGGCCGGGGCCTTGATATCTCTGCCCCAGATTTCATTGTTTCCTTCAACACGTCCCCTGGTCCCCCGCTAGTCCGCGCGCATGTCTCGGGCCATGATTGTTTGCATCCCCCCCCTCTTGGACGCCTGTCTCTGGGACGCCCCCGATACTTCCCGATTCGATGCTGGCCGATCCTGCAGAGGTGGGGACGTGCGCTCGCCGTCATCGCGGCCACGGGACGCAACAGGCCGCCAGGGCCGCGAGGCGCGCGCTGTGGGCGGCGGGCGTCGACGCGCGCCGCGGCGGTATCCCGCGGAGCGGGCGCCGGCCCGAGGACTGCCTTTGCGGTCTACCTCGCGGCCCTGCTGGCGTTCCGCTGCCTGCCGGCCGCCTGGTCCCCGCGCCCTTCCCTGCAGTCCAGCGCGCTGAGCGCGGCGGCCTTCGGCTGCCTGGCGCTGGCGGCCCCGCGCGGCCGAGGCGCCGCGGCGGGGCCGCCCTGGCGGCTGCTGGGCGCCGTCGCTGCCGCGGAGGTGGGCAGCGCCGCGGCGTACGCGCTCCTGGCGGCCGCGGGCCCGCCGCCGGCGGCCGCTCTCTGGCTGGCGGTCGCCGGGCTGCCAGCGACCGCGGCGGCGTCCGCGCTGCTGCTGCAGAGGAGGCCGGCGCCGCTGCGCTGGGCCGGGGCGGCGGTGGCCGCCGCGGGTGCCGCGTGCGCGGCGCTGGCGCTGCCGTCCGCCGCGCGCGGGCGCGCGCCCGGGGCCCGCGAGCTCTGCGCGGGCCTGGTGGCGTGCGGCCTCGCCTCATTGGCGTGGGTCGGGCGCGAGGCGCTGCTGAAGGGCGGCGCGGCGGGCGAGCGAGGGCGGCACGGGCCCGTCGGCCTTGCGGCTGTGGCCGCACTGGGCTCGTTGTCGCACCTGGCGATGCTGGCGGCGGTGCCCGCGGCGCGCCCGGGGGCCGCGGGGGGCCCCGGCGCCGTGGCTGCCGGCGCCCTTGCCGAGGTCGCGCAGAGGTGGGCGGCCCTGTGGGCGCTACGGCGCTCCAGCCGGAGGAGAGAACGCGGCACAGGCAGAACCTTTCAGTGGTCCGCGCGGACTTTTTGGATCGGCGCTGGACCCCCTTGGCGGCACTTCGGTGCCGCCCCTTGCGCTTTCCAGGGGGTGGGGGGACAAGGTACCCATAATCACTGCTACTCCCCTGGCCTCTCCCAGGCTGCGGTCGCACCTGGATTTTCGAGGCGAGCCCAGCCATGGTGACGAGAGTTCTCCTTGGCAGGCAGCGGTATGGGTACCTCTTCCTCTGAGGTCCCCGATCAACGAGACCAGCGCGGCCCTCCGAGAGTTTGCGCCCGTACCGCTTTCTCCTCTCCTGCGCAGCGCCCTAGCGGTGCAGCTGGCCGTTGTCGTGGCCGCGCCCCTGCCGGTCGCGGCCGGCGCCAGCCCGCTGGTGGCCTGCGGTGCGGGGCTGTCGCTCGCGGGCGCAGCGGTGGCGCTGGGTTCCCCTGAGGCTCCGCACAGTCGAAGCAGGCCCCATCCCCGCTGAGTCATGGCATCTCAGCCCCACCAGGCCCCCCCCCCCGGATCACTGCGACCTTAATTAGGTGGAGCTCCCTGCGGGGCCACGAAACGTGGGAGGGATGTCCCAAAATGAGGCGGCGGCGCCATGCGAACTGCGCCCCTGGGACCTGGGGTGGAGCTTCCTGCGGGGTCACGAAACATGTGAGGAGTGTGCCAAAATGGGGCGGCGGCGCCATGCAAACTGCGCCATTAGGGCCTGAGGTGGAGCTCCCTCTGGGTCGCGAAACGCGTGAGGGGTCTACCAAAATGGGGCGGCGGCGCCATGCGAACTGGGCCATTGGGATCTTGGTGGGGCTCCCTACGGGGCCACGAAACGCATGCGGGTTGTGCCAAAATGGGGCGGCGGCGCCATGCAAACTACGCCGCTGGGACCTTAGGTGGGGCCCCCTGTGGGGCCACGAAGCGCGTGAGGGTTATGCCAGAATTGGGCGGCGGCGCCATGCGAATTGCGCCGCTGCGACCTTAGGTGGAGCCTGGGGTTGCGAAACGCGTGAGGGGCGTGCCAAACATCGGGCGGCGGCGCCATGCGAATTGCCGCTGGGATCTTAGGTGGAGCTCCCTATGGGGCCACGAAACGCGTGAGGTGTGCGCTAGGATGGGGACCTCAGGTGGAGCTCCTTATGGGGCCACGAAGCGTGTGAGTGGCGTGCCAAAATGTGGCGGCGGCGCCATGCGAACTGCGCCTCTGCGGCCTTAGGTGGAGCTCCCTGTGGGGCCACGAAACATATGAGGAGTGTGCCAAAATGGAGCGGCGGCGCCATGCAAACTGCGCCATTGGGGGCCTGAGGTGGAGCTCCCCATTGGGGCCGCGAAACGCTTGGTGGGCGCGCCCAAATGGGGCGGCGGCGCCATGCGAACTGCGTCACTGGGACCTTCGGTGGAGCTCCCTATGGGGCCACGGAGCGTGTGAGGGGTGTGCCAAAATGAGGCGGCGGCGCCATGCGAACTGCGCCACTGTGGCCTTAGGCGGGGCCCCCTGCGGGGCCGCGAAACGTGCGAGGGGTGCGACGAAACAGATAATTATGAGGGCAGGGGCAAGGACTGGGAGAAGGGGGGAGGGGGGGACGGAGGAGGAGGAGGAGGAGGAGGAGGAGGAGGAGGAGGAGGAGGAGGAGGCGGGAGTCGGGGCGCTTTCGTTTCAAAGCGAGGACCCAACCCCACAGGATGCTTGGGAAAAACTTACAACATCGTTAACCTCGTTGGTTATGGTTTCGTGGGGGGCCCCTTGGAGGCCTCTTGGGGCGCCTCGGGAACATCTCGGGCCGTCGTGGGGCCGTCGTGGGACATATGTGGGCCGTCTGGGGCAGTCTTGGCCTCGCGAGGCTCTCTTCGGAGCCTCTTCAGGCAATCTCGGTGGCCTCTCGGGCCGCTCTGTCCGCGCGGCGGCGTCGCATCGAGAATCCCGGGGTCGCCTGGGGCAGCCGGGGTCCGACGTTCACCCCCCCCGCTGGCTGTTTGGCCACGCGGCGGGGCCCCCTGGCAGACAGTGAACCGACGGCAGGAAACAGGGCTGGAGAGACAAAAGGCCAAACGACACATGACAACGCATAATACATAACAGCAGACCGCGCGCATCTTCGTAGCCCGGCGTCCTTGGGAGGGGGCCGGCGGATATTTCCCCGCGACAATGAAGGGCGCAGAATGAGTTGGAAGCAGAGGCCGACCGAGAGGATCACTGGCGGCGCGGATATCCAGAACGGCGCGCAGCTCACGCAGGCGCGCGACTCAATGGGCGCCCTGCCATCTTCAACGCCCGATCTGAAAGTGGAGATCGAGGACGAGGGCCCACTGGTTCCCGAGGTCAGAGGGGCGGCGAGAAACCTCCAGACCGAAGGCGGAAGTCATCTTCGCCCCTCTCCCCCAGTTCCGCCGCCACCTTGGCCCGAATTCTGGGGGGCGGCGGGCGGGCGGGCGGCGGGGGGGGAACGGCCTTGGAGGTTCTTTTGTGGCCAGCCTTCGTGGATTGATTTGGCCGCGTCGCAGAGGAGACGCGCGATGTTGCGCCGGCGCAAGAGCCGGCTCGCGGCGGGGGGCAAGAATGCCGAGGAGGTCAACGAATCTGCGGGCGGTCTACTCGCAGGAAATCGAAAACAGCATCGATGTCCCGTGGAACTTCGTGGACAGGTGCAACTGCGACATCGCCGCGGCCGAGGGCGCGCGCGCGCCTTGGGCGCGAAGGAGTTGCCCATTCTCCACGAGCAGATTACAGACGCCAGGGGAGCTCTCGGCGCCATGCGAACTGGGCCATTGGGATCTTGGTGGGGCTCCCTACGGGGCCACGAAACGCATGCGGGTTGTGCCAAAATGGGGCGGCGGCGCCATGCAAACTACGCCGCTGGGACCTTAGGTGGGGCCCCCTGTGGGGCCACGAAGCGCGTGAGGGTTATGCCAGAATTGGGCGGCGGCGCCATGCGAATTGCGCCGCTGCGACCTTAGGTGGAGCCTGGGGTTGCGAAACGCGTGAGGGGTGTGCCAAACATCGGGCGGCGGCGCCATGCGAATTGCCGCTGGGATCTTAGATGGAGCTCCCTATGGGGCCACGAAACGCGTGAGGTGTGCGCTAGGATAGGGGACCTCAGGTGGAGCTCCTTATGGGGCCACGAAGCGTGTGAGTGGCGTGCCAAAATGCGGCGGCGGCGCCATGCGAACTGCGCCTCTGCGGCCTTAGGTGGAGCTCCCTGTGGGGCCACGAAACATGTGAGGAGTGTGCCAAAATGGAGCGGTGGCGCCATGCAAACTGCGCCATTGGGGGCCTGAGGTGGAGCTCCCCATTGGGGCCGCGAAGAGCTTGGTGGGCGCGCCCAAATGGGGCGGCGGCGCCATGCGAACTGCGTCACTGGGACCTTCGGTGGAGCTCCCTATGGGGCCACGGAGCGTGTGAGGGGTGTGCCAAAATGAGGCGGCGGCGCCATGCGAACTGCGCCACTGTGGCCTTAGGCGGGGCCCCCTGCGGGGCCGCGAAACGTGCGAGGGGTGCGACGAAACAGAGACATTATGAGGGCAGGGGCAAGGACTGGGAAAAGGGGGGAGGGGGGACGGAGGAGGAGGAGGAGGAGGAGGAGGAGGAGGAGGAGGAGGAGGAGGAGGAGGAGGAGGAGGAGGAGGCGGGAGTCGGGGCGCTTTCGTTTCAAAGCGAGGACCCAACACCACAGGATGCTTGGGAAAAACTTACAACATCGTTAACCTCGTTGGTTATGGTTTCGTGGGGGGCCCCTTGGAGGCCTCTTGGGGCGCCTCGGGAACATCTCGGGCCGTCGCGGGGCCGTCGTGGGACATATGTGGGCCGTCTGGGGCAGTCTTGGCCTCGCGAGGCTCTCTTCGGAGCCTCTTCAGGCAATCTCGGTGGCCTCTCGGGCCGCTCTGTCCGCGCGGCGGCGTCGCATCGAGAATCCCGGGGTCGCCTGGGGCAGCCGGGGTCCGACGTTCACCCCCCCCGCTGGCTGTTTGGCCACGCGGCGGGGCCCCCTGGCAGACAGTGAACCGACGGCAGGAAACAGGGCTGGAGAGACAAAAGGCCAAACGACACATGACAACGCAGAATACATAACAGCAGACCGCGCGCATCTTCGCAGCCCGGCGTCCTTGGGAGGGGGCCGGCGGATATTTCCCCGCGACGATGAAGGGCGCAGAATGAGTTGGAAGCAGAGGCCGACCAAGAGGATCACTGGCGGCGCGGATATCCAGAACGGCGCGCAGCTCACGCAGGCGCGCGACTCAATGGGCGCCCTGCCATCTTCAACGCCCGATCTGAAAGTGGAGATCGAGGACGAGGGCCCACTGGTTCCCGAGGTCAGAGGGGCGGCGAGAAACCTCCAGACCGAAGGCGGAAGTCATCTTCGCCCCTCTCCCCCAGTTCCGCCGCCACCTTGGCCGGAATTCTGGGGGGCGGCGGGCGGGCGGGCGGCGGGGGGGGAACGGCCTTGGAGGTTCTTTTTTGGCCAGCCTTCGTGGATTGATTTGGCCGCGTCGCAGAGGAGACGCGCGATGTTGCGCCGGCGCAAGAGCCGGCTCGCGGCGGGGGGCAAGAATGCCGAGGAGGTCAACGAATCTGCGGGCGGTCTACTCGCAGGAAATCGAAAGCAGCATCGATGTCCCGTGGAACTTCGTGGACAGGTGCAACTGCGACATCGCCGCGGCCGAGGGCGCGCGCGCGCCTCGGGCGCGAAGGAGTTGCCCATTCTCCACGAGCAGATTACAGACGCCAGGGGAGCTCTTGGACACCACCTCTGGCAGATGCCGCGGCGCCGTGGGCGCGGCGGCCGCGGCGGCGGAAGAGGCGGATGAGAACGAAGGGAAGGGCGAGGGCGAGGAGAGGGGCGTGGGGGCCTCAGAAGGGCGATGGGAAGGGCAGCTGGGATTGAAATGGAGGAGCACGCGCCATTGAATTGCGCGTAGTTCTCGGCACGCATGCTGCGCTCGCAGAGTTTTCTCGCGCAGCCTCGCCGCCCGAGCGGAGAGTTCGCCGCGGCCGCGCCCCTAGAGGAAATGCCGCCGTCGACGTCGTCGTCTACCCCCCTGCGCAGGAGGGCGCATTGGCCCGTCGGGGGCGATGTCTTCCGCGGCGACGCAGCGGCCCGAGCCCCGCAGAGCATTTTCTTTTCTCCAGGGGCGCGCGAGTGCTCGGCGAGCGCAGGCGCCATTGCGACGCTGCAGATCTTCTTCCTCGCAGGAGGTCGGGGGCAAACGTGGGCGCGCTGCCGACCAACGCGCTCGCCCGCGCCCGGTCCCAGTCGCTCCTGGGCGACGCCCGCGCGGGAGGCCGCCGAGGGGTGGGCGACGTGACCGGCCGCTGAAGAGCAGGCGGGGGCGGCGCCGAGGAGGGCGCTGGCGCTGGGGCCAGCGCTGGCGGCGACGCGCCCAGGACGTTGCGGAGGCGACATCTTCGGCGCAGCGCGTCGACCAGGGCGCATCTCGCAGGGGTCCGCAACAAAAAAGACACACAATAATCATATTCGTAATAAACGCAGCCACGAGCACGCGGGGTGGGTCGCCGATGGCTCACCGCGCGAGCGCGTCGCCTTCTGGCGATGCGCGGCGCGCCGAAGAAACTGGGGGGGGGGCCGGCGGTCTGGATGGCGCGGGGAGACATCGCGTGCGACGCCGCCTCTCTGCAACGCAAGTTGACCCGACGATTCCGATAGGTTCGCGGGCCGGCGGCGCCCCGCGCCGGCGGGGCAGGGGCCAGACCGCGGAGCTCGCGCGCTTATATTTGCGAGGTCTGCCGAGAACGGTGGAGGCGCGCGAGCTGTGCGCGCCCGTTAGTGGATTAATGGAGTCTTCCGCGAGCGCGACCGCGTGGCGCGGCATTTCCAGCGGGATTGTTGGGAGGTTTCGGCTCGCGGCCACGGGCGAATGCCTCGCCGCCCGCCGCGGCGGCGCAGCTCGGTTGGAGTTTGATTTTCACGGAGCCAAGACGGCAGACGCAATATTTGGCAATAGGTCTGCGCTGGCGCAGATGCGCCCAGACTGGGGGCGCCGGGAACAAGTGTTCGGGCTCCCGCAGTTCGACGACAAGGCGGGCCGCTGCTGGAGGTGCCGCGCGACGCCGCAGCAGGCCTCCTGCCCTTGTCCTCCTTGTCCTCGTTCGCCTCCCTCTCCGCTCTCCTCGCCTCTCGCCGGCGCAGGCGTTCCGACCGGGGCGCGTCTGCGGCGCGGCTGCCGCGGCGGAGCAGCAGGCGCGCGAAGACGCCGCAATTGACCCAACATTTAATGGAACATGTTGTCACAATATCGCCAATGATGTCAATGTCATGGGCTGACGGATCGGCCCAGATAATCGACTGGTCACGCGCGGTTGATTTGGGCGCGGCCGCAGATTAGCTGTGACAGATTTTTCTCTTGGGTAAAGCTCGCAAAATTCGTCGGCTTCGCGCGTGGCGGACGGCGCGCGGCTTTGCGGGGTCGCCCGGGTGCCTTGCGCGAGCGGTATTCAGCGGCGCATCGAATTCACTCCTTGCCCATGAAGACCATGGAGCACAAGGGGGCAGTGCGCCTTTCGGGCTAGGCTGCGATCATCAGACACATGACACCCCTTGGGAAAGCGCTCGCCGACGTGTTGCGCGACCCGTATATCGCGGAGGAGGTCGCGACGTAAAATGCAATGTTTCATTCGTCTCAGTGTTTTTTTTTTTTTTTTTTTTTTTTTTTTGAGAAGCGGCAGCCAGAAAGGGGGCGCCCTGCGTTCATCGATCAAGTTCGCCTTGCAGGGCGCCGCCCTGCGCGGCATGTGCCCGGCGGAATTTCACGCGGGGCCGAAGATGCAGTAATTGTTCGAGATGGGCTATGGAGCTTCAATGGGGCATCAGCCCGAGACGCACTGGACATGCAGAGTTGAGGACTTCGGAGGCACGGGCGCTCACTGCGCCGATCGCCGTGGCAGCGCGCTCGCGCCCGCTGGGTTCAGCGCAGCATTGATGTCCAGATTTGTCTTGCAGCCTTTCGCGAGGATTTTGCGATTGCATCGGTATTGTTCCGCGGCCAGATCCAAAACAGAGGTCGTCTTCCCACCCCCCCTGTGCAGGCGCGGCATGTCGATCCGCTTCGGAGCCCGCCCCCCCGCCCTCCTTGCCCCCCCCCCGCCTTCAAATTTCCAGTCGTCTTCCGCGTCCATCTTCGCCGTGCCGCCATGTCGTCGTTTGCCGCGGCCGTGCTCGGCTTCGGCGCTCGCGCGAGCTGCCGGACTCAAATTCTAGACGCTTCGCGTATCCCCACCCGCCCGTCCAGAAACGACGCCCAGGCGAGTAGAGGGTCGTCCTGAGGAGCTTTTCGGCGTCTTGGGTGCTTCGGGGGGGCCTCTGTGGGCCGTTCGGGATCCTCTTTGGGGCCTCCTGGGGGCCTCTTGGGGCCATCTTGGGGCCTTTTGGGGCCTCCTGGGCGCTTCTTGGGGCCATCTTTGCCCCTTGGGTGCCTTTGGGGGGTCTCTTGGGGCCTCTTGGGGGTCTCTTGGGGGCCTCCTGGGGGCCTCTTGGGGGGCTTCTTGGGGCCATCTTGGGGCCATCCTGAGGGAATTTGGCAAAGAAAGCTGAAGCGCTAATTAGCGTCGCTACTGGAAAGCCTTTAAAATCGCCTCCTGGACCGCTCTTGGAGGGCTCTTGGAGCGCTCTTGGGCGCCCTTTGCGCCGTCCTCGGGCTTTCTTGGGCCCTTCTTGGAGCTATCTTGAGCCATATTGGAGCTATCTTGACTCCTCGGATGGGCATCGGATGCGAAAGCGCGAGAACGCCAAAAACATTGATTTCCCCAGATTTTTGAAACATTTTGGCTTCTTGGGGGCATCCGAGGGGAGCTCTAGTGGACACTTAGAGCCGTCTTGGGGCGGTCTTGGAGCGTATTGGAGCATCTTCGGAACCATCTTGAGGCATCTTGCGCTATCTTGAACCATCTTGGAGGCGATCTTGGGCTCCCTGAGGCCCTCTTGGAACCGTGTTGGGCCATCTTGGACGCTCCAACGCGTCGCGGCCCCCCCTGCCCAGGTCAGTGGGGAGGGGGTATGGGGGAGGGGTAAACCCCTCCCCGAAGGGGAAGAAGGAGGGGTGGAAGAGGAAACGCTCTAAACCACCGACGCCCAGAGGGCTGGTGGGATTCAGGATGTTATTATGACAGATGCCATGGCGGCTTGGGGCGCTCGATGCTCGACGCGCCGCGCCCTCGGCGTTGCGGGCGACGCGGGGCCCCGGCGCCGCGCGCGGCAGTTCGACGGTTGCTGGCTGCGTCGCCGCCGCCAGCAATGCGCCAATAATGGCCGCCTTGGCCTCGGCGAGAAGGTCCTGGAGCACGACGGGCCAGGGTCGGGAAGCTGGTCGACAGGCGACTGGCGATCTCGGCGGGGGCGCGCGCGGCCCAGAACGGCGGGGGGGGGCGCGCGGGCGAACTGGCGGCGACGCCTTCGCAGAGCGAAGCCCCGCGCCACCCGCGCGCCCAAAACGTCGGGGGCCCCGCCTCCCCCCTTTGCGCCCGATGTAGAAATGGCAAGAGACGAGAGGGGGCGGCGGCTCCTGTCCTGGAGGCGCCGCGGGGGCGGGAGGAGGCGGGGGGGGAGGGCGCGGGGGGGGCGGATGGAGGGGTGCGAGGGGGAGGGGGGGGGGGCGGCGGGGGGATATCGATTGCGATTGGAGCGTGTCAGGAACAGCATGAAACCAAGATGAAATCAGCATCGAATCGATTTAAACCTCGCAGGATCGCTAAATAGTTGACGTAGAAAACCTCTGACCTTAGTTAGCGCAAAGAGCGAAGTAGAGAGAACGTATCTGTCTGCCTTCATCCGCGCAAACAGCTAATTCGAGCAGTTTGGTCCTTCGTGGGAGGGCGTGTGCCGAGGGTTTGAAATGTGCTGATTGAGCGGCGCGGGAGCAAATCGGATCGAACAGTTTCAACATGAGCGTGGCTGTTTCCTTTGATTCTGATCTCTCGCGACGTATTCTTGTTGACCCCCCTTCCAGTGACCGTTCTACTTTTCAATTGGAGCGCTCTCCCGGGGCTCGCGCGATGTTTTGATGCAAGAAGAAGACCAGGGTCGCCGAACTGTGCCCCTGGCCTCTCACAGTGTATTGAACAATCGCGCTTTCGCGCGGGACGTGCTCACGATGCATGCAGGAATCGCGCTCTCGCGTGGTTCATGCAAATTATTGCGGCGCCGGCCCCCAACACTCACGGATCATGCTTTCGCCTGGGATTTCTTGGTGATTTATTCGTGATTGGCGTAATCGTTCGAAACTTCCTCCATGATGCGTTGGCGGTTTAACGACCCGCCCGCTCGACAGGGCCGTTTGGGCCCGCCCGCCCGACCTGCCCGTTAGGGCCCGTCCACCCGACGCGCCCGTTTGGTTCTGCCGCTTGCGCTCCTGTTCCTAACCCTCCTGTTAATCTCTTTCGTGTTCCATCCTTCTCCCTCCCACTTGTTTCTCCGTTCCTCCCCTCCTCCCCTGTTCTGGGGGCTGAGCCAAGTACGCGCGGCAGGCAGGGAAGCTATAATTACCCCCGAAAGGGCACGATCGAAAACGAATAGGGCGGGTATCGAGGGTTCGGGACATACGTGTTCAATGGCACGCGGGCAGATCAGAGCGAACTGTTCTAAGATTCGTGTTGTTGTTGCTGTTATTTTCAGCCTCTGAAGGCCTTCGCCGGGCCTCGGGACCGTCAAAACCTCGAAGCTGGGCCTGGGGAAAAGGCCGGGACTTCTGGGGAACTCGTATCGAACAGATCAAGGCATCGCGTTTCTGGGGATGGGTCCTGCGAGACCCGAAGGGAACAGCATGCATCCCCAAGTGTGCTGGTACGTCGGCCAGTGTGCCAAAACCACGCCCGTGGGGATGGGGATCGGCTGAGCGATGCTCAGAGGCGGGGGGGCTCGAAGCCGTTGGGGATGCCGCGAGGGCTGCGAAGGAGGTGGCCGCAGAGGATCTGGACGTCCTCGCGACGTGGGGAAATCACGACGTAAGGTTTTGAACAGCCTTCGGTCCTCTGGTCAGAGGAGGAAGCGGTGCCGATACCGCGTCCCTTGCCTCGTTTTTGCCTTTTTGGGCCTCCTGGGAGCCGTCGACGCCGCGGCTGGATTCGCTTCGAAAGCCTGGTCATAACGCGCTCTGGGAGAGGTCCGGGGAGTAGCGGTATCGGTACTTCCTGTGTCCCCATCTGGGGGGGGCCTCGCCAGGCCCTTGGGGACGTCAGCAAGCAGCAACCGCGGGACGAGGAGCCGATCCCCGGCAAGGGATCCAGACATTTGGAGAACCGCGCTGCGAAATAATCACGGCGTGGGGTGTCTGGCCCAGTCATCCGACGTCGCGTCTGTCTCACGACGTGAGGTCTGGATATCCGTTCCAGGAGATGCTTCCGGTCAGTCCCGCGGGCCCGGTCAGGGTGTCCCCAGAAGGCGAAGATTGCCACGCATCATCCGTCGTGCTTGATGGGCTTGTTTTCCACCACCACCACCATAAGTTGGAGGGGGAAAGGAGGTGGAGGAGGAAGAGGAGGAGGAGGAGGAGGAGGAGGAGGAGGAGGAGGAGGAGCAGGACCCCCTCCCCCTCCGACTTATGGTGGTGGTGGTGGAAAGCAGGCCCATCAGCGCTTGTCCCCACGACGCGAGGACTTCGGGGGGGGGGAGGAGAGCGCCGGGGCCAGAGAGGCCAGGCGGGCAGCGGAGGAGGCCAGGGCTGGGGAGCGGCAGGCCGCCGCGAGAGAGCGCGCGACGGTCGGGGCGGAGAGGGCTCGGGCCGGGGAGGGGAGGGCGCAGGGCAGGGCCGCAGGGGAGGCGAGGGCCGCGGAGGAGGAGAGGGCGCGGGCGAGAGGCGCGGAGGAGAGGGCCAGGGCCGCGGAGCAGGCGGCCAGGGTGGAGGCAGAGGTGGCGCGCGCGAAGGCCGCGGAGGAGGAGGCCAGGCTCGCGGAGGAGGCGGCCAGGGCCAGGGAGGAGCTGGTGCGCGCGAAGGCCGCGGTGCAGGCCAGGGCCGCGAGGGAGGCGGAGGCGCGGGCCAAGGCCGCAGAGGTGGCCAAGGCCAGGGCGGAGGAGAGGGCGCGTGCGAGGGCCGCGGAGGAGGAGGCTCGGGGGCGGGCGAGGGCCGCAGGGGAGGCCAAGGCCAGGGAGGAGGCGAGGGCGCGCGCGAGGTCCGCGGAGGAGGAGGCTCGCGCCGCGGAGGCGAGGGAGGCCGCGGGGGATAGCCGTTTTTATACCTCTCTCTCTCCATCTCTCCCTCTTTCTTCTCTTTTGGGGAGGGGCCTGGGAAAGCCGCCAATCCCATAGAGCCACCTCCCCGACCCAAGTCAAACGCATGACTGGGGAATCCGATGAAACCGGACTTCGTTGGTTCACCCGATCCCGGCTTGCCCAGAGCATCTGGTTCTTAACTCACCCGACGCTCTACCGGGGCTGCTGGGGCGCCTTTTGAGGGAGCCTGCTGGCGGTCTCCGGGGTCATCTTGGGGCGGAGTGCTCGAAATGTTGATTAGTGCTCTCCCTCTTGGGGCTCTCTTACTCCTTCTTGGGGCCCTGTTTGGTCATCAGGGGACCCTCCTGAGAGCCTCTTGTGCTGTCTTGGGGCGAGGAAAGCCCAGAAAGGCGAGAACGCTGAAATCCTTCAGCAACCTCAGGGGCAATTTTTTTGTTTGACCTCACGGGGCCCTCTTGGAGGGTCTCTTGGAGCCCTCTTGGGGCGTCTTGGGAGCCTATTGGGCTGTCTGGGGGCCATCGCGGGCGTCTTGGGGCGATCTCGAAAGGGCCTCTTGGGGCTCGCCTGGGCCGTTTCGGGATCCGCTTGTCTCCGAAAATGGCATGGGGGAAGTCCCCGAAGCGCCCAGGAGCGCCCAGAAGTGCCCGAGAGTGCCCAGAAGTCCAGGCTGCGGCCCCCCGAAAGGATTCTCTGGACTGAGGACTGAGGGCTCGAAGGACATGAGGATACTCCAATTCGTACCTCAAGGCACGGTGGCTGATTCCCCAGCATTTTCCGTACCACGATCCCAACCCAATTCGTGATCTTGATCCTAGCCTCAAACGCCTCAACCGAATCTTCACACACATCCAAACCCACATTACCCTTGAATTTCAACCACGTCCTGAGCCACACCCTGACTTCAACCTTCACCCCGGACCTTAACCGCAACCCCGAACCTAACCTCACTTCTGACGTTCAGCCAGACCAATGCCATACCCCTATAAGTGCAGCTCAACCCAGGACAAACCCAGCCACTGTCCCCTTACCATGAACCCGAACCGCACCCAGGCCCCATCCTTGGCCATATTCACACCCTATCCGATCCCTATCCCCTGACCCTAACGACCACCTAACAGGATCCCTAAGCCGAATCCACACCCTGACTCTTGCACCAGCACAAACCTGAACCCTTACCTTAACCACCCACTCAATCGTAACGCTGACCCCTGGTTGCTTCGACTGCGACGCGAAAATCTTGCTTGGTTTCCTGGAAAGCGTGTCTGTAAGGGTCCTATGTAGTGTTTCGATCGGGGGGGGCGCCATCGTCTGCCGTTGTCTCCCGTTGTTTCCTGTGGCCTCCAGTTTTCTCCATAGCCCTAGCCCTCTACCCTTACCCTGTATCCCTTGGACCCCTTATCCTACGTCTCGCGTTGTCTTTCTGAGTTCTCCATCTTCTTACTATGAGCCCGCTTTTCCATTCTTGTTTTGTCCTCAATCCACGTCCCCATCCCGAACCGTATCCATATCCCTGCATGCATCTTCAAACCCTGCTCGAGATCCGTACCCCATACCCCCACCCCTTGGTACTCGTGCCAGTTTTCGTTTTCGTACGAGGCCAGGTCGACCAGGCTTTACTACCACTTGCCCTCATGCGCGATGCTAGAGGAACATGTATACCCTATCATGTTATACAAGAGCGCACTCGATGATACACACCATAATGTTCGACCACACGGTGGTGTTCTATACTGTGGTCCCTCTAGGCGTCTTCGTCTATGCCCCTCTCTCTGGTCCACGTGTAAAGCTGCTCAGGGTCTTCTGCCGCAAGGTTGTACTTTCAGGGACGTTCAGGAGAGCGTGTGTGTCGTTGCGGGCTGGCCCACCATACCCATCAAGTCCACGCCAACCGATTGCCAGAACGTACGCTTAGGGTGTTCTCCTTGCTGGCCATCATGCCGTCTCCTCGCGTTGGCTTTTTTTCACGGATTGGTGGTGCCAGCAGATTGCCCGATGTGCGTTGTCACGCGTGCCACACGAACTGCATAATTGGCGCTCTCTGTGCGCTCTTGGCGCGCCTGAAGCACATGGCTCAGTTGGGTGCGCCTTGTAAGATTCGGCACCTGGTGCACTGCACTTGGTGCGCATGGTGCACCTACCATACGTGGCGCACTTCGCGAGCATGGTGCACGTGGCGTTTGCACTGGCTCCCACTGGTTGTCTAACAGCTGGCGGCCACCGCCGATGCTGCTTTCCGGGTGCTGGTTATGTGACGAGGGGGCGGTTGGGACTGAGCGGGAGTTCGCGCCGTTCCCATGGGGGACTTTGACCGTTACCCTAGCCCCTTCCCCAACCCTGAAACTAAGTGCAAGTTAAATTGCACGCTGGAATGAACCCGAGCCCTACCCTCGTGCTGCCCCGATCCTAATCCAATACGTGGCCCACATGAAGTCCTGACGTCCTGACTCAAGAAAACGGTTAACCATACTCCGAGCGCGTACTCTTCAACAGCTAAAGCCTCAACCACGTGTCGAGGTCCGTTTTACTTGACTCCTTCGCATGTGGATTTCGCATTCCCGGTGTACCATCCTTCGTCTCAGAGATGAGTTCAGATCGCGCGAGACCCGCAATTTGATCTCCCCACTGTCTTGTCAGATCATGCGTGCAGGGCGAGACATACGCATTCTTAGTTATCATGAACGAGGTTTGGCTTCGCGTCAGATGTTTCGTATATCGCGCGGTTACAGTTTCTCGGGACATCTGACCATGTCTATACAATCGCGCCAAATGTCACGCATCGCGCCAAATTGCATAAGGCCATACATCGCGAGAGAACGCGCTGGCCCCGTTCGCCATGCGCCATGCCGACAAGAAGCCACGCTGACCGTACGTTCTCAGTTCTCACCATGCGTGAACCCGTTTATGGCTAAACATTTCGCAGTCATCACATTCGCGCGCACGTACGCGCATGAGTTGTGTGTGAGTGCGCTTGTATCTTATCAGAACGTCAGGGGTCACACACGCACGCTGGGAGCAACCGCAGCAACCAGACGCACAGCCGTACATATATGCCTCTGGGACGCGCCGCAGCATCGGCATATCAAGATGGGCAGACCACATGATGGAAGGACCCATGCGTCCGAATTCGTGTTGTTGTCGCAGCGTTCCTCCCCCCCGGAGGCACAGGCATGATTTTCGCAAGGCGCGGAGAAGTCTGGTGGTGGGCTCAACAATCGACCCAAATACCTGTGCCAGGGTGCTTTCGGATCAGATTCTTGAAGCTGGCCCAACAAGAAGCCACACAGGGGCCCAGGGAAGCAAATTTACGAAGATCCTCGAACCGCGAGTCTCGGACCTCCACGGGGCTCGCTGGCCCGAGACAAAAGCACAAGCAGCAGCACCTCCGCAGGAGGCGGCGGCGACGACGACGACGACGAGGACGAGGATGACGGCGAGGACGCCGACGAGGATGACGGCGGCGACGGCGGCGACGAGCCGTCAGCACCTCCGCAGGAGGAGGCCCGGGCCGTGGTGCGCGCCTGGTCCAGGTTGGGGGCGGAAAAGAAGGGGGTGATGACTAGGGGGGGGGGGATATCATGGCGGGGACCATGATATTTCCCCAGAGGCGCCTCTTCTTATTTCATTACGTCCCTGGCCCCCCCGCTGGGCCGCGCACATGCCGCCGGTCATGATTTGCATCCCCCCTCTTGGACACCCCCCTCTTGGCCGCTCCCGATCCAGGGCGCGGGCGGAGGCCGCTGACGAGGGCGCCTTCCAGGCCGCGGCCGCCGCGGCGGCGGCCGCGGCCGCCCGGGCCGGCCGCAGGGGGGGTTTGCGGGCGGAGGCCGCGGGCGGGGGGGCGGAGGCCGCCGCGGGGGGGCCGCGGGCCGAGGCCGCGGCGGAGGGGGCGTGGGCGGAGGCCGCGGAGGCCGCCGAGGGGGGCGCGGGGGCCGCGGAGGAGGGGGCCCGGGCGGAGGCCGCGGAGCAGCAGGAGGTCTCGAGGGCGTCCAACAGGAGAGGAGGGGGGGGGGCGTGAGGCTGCTCGGGGGCCCCCGGGCGGTGCGGTGGCCACGCCGTGCCGAGAGCCAGTGGGCGTCGAGGTCGCCGCACGGCCTCTCGGGGCTTTTGGACCTGGGGCCGTGCTCCCAGGGCGTCTCGGGCCGGCCGGGGCCTCCAGGGTCCAAGGCCGTGTGGTGACGGGCCGTGCGCGGAGGTCTCCTGGGACTCGAGGTCGCCGCGCCGTGTGTCACCGCACCCTGTAGGGATCCCCAAGAGGACCAGGGGGCGTGTGGATGAGATCAGGCTATGGGATCTCACAGGTTCGATGGCCCCTTCTTCTGCTCCGTACTCTTCTTCTTGGTCTTTCAAGGCGTTGCCTGAGCCCCTCGTCCGCGCACATGTTTCGGGCCATGATACCCTGGAGACGATTTGTTATCTGGCACTAACGGGCGTGACCAAGGGGGTGGGAGTTGGCTGGTAACGTCACCATTCGCGCTGGCGCCGTGTGGGAAAGCTTGGGAATGGCAAATTCCCAGACGGCGCCGGCGCGAATCTTGACGTGACCAGTGGTGGTGAGGGGGAGGGGTCGCGGGGCCAGTCTCGGGCAGTATCGCGAAACAAAATACATGCACGAACCCCCCTGTCATTTTCACGGGTAGTTCCTGGTGCCATTCTGTTTGTCCCCCGCGTGTACCTTCCTCCCATGCCACGGTTCACTGCATGAATTTGCCTACTGCAGGTCGGCTTCTGCGTAGTCCTGGGTCTTCCTGGCGATTCTCTGACTCGCACTCTGGTTTTGCATAGCCGAAGTGTCGAACCCTGATAGCCGCGCTCCCTCCTCCTCCTGCTCCTCCTCCTCCTCCTCCTCCTCCTCCCCATCCTCCTCCCGAAAAGATTGTACGAACCCCCTGCTCATGGCCTCTCCCCCTTCCTCTCTTCCGAAGGTCTCCAGGTCTCTAAGGGCAGCGGCTGCGGAGCCCTGACACCCTCGCGCCGTGGCAGAATCACGGCTCTGGGCTTTTGGCAGCTTTCGGCTTCTGGAGGCCTTCGACGGGGCCCCAAGGCAGGCAAGGCGCGAATCACACAGGTCTCCGACGGCCTGGTAGTGCGAAAGCCTTAGGGCCGGCGCCACCGACCTTGAAGGGGGACGACGACGACGACGACGACGACGACGACGACGACGACGACGACGCGGCGTCGGCGGCGTCGGCGGCGGCGGCGGTGGCAGTGGCGGTGGCGGCGACGACACCGATGACGACGAAAACTATTCAAAAACTTGGGAGGATCATCGAGTTTTCAGAAAATGACTCACCCAGGTGTCTGGCGACCTGGTCAGGGTGAGGGGGCCGAGCGGTCGTTCACTGTCTCTGGGTGCGTGGCTGAGGTGAGGCTCGCCGTGCGAATTTTGTTATTGCGCTGTCGTTGTTGAATTCTTAATTTTTCAAGATTGATTCTTGTTGATCCCCCCTTCGGTGACCATTGCGTTTTTCAATCAAAGTGCTCCTCCTGGGGTTCGCACTTTGTTTTAGTAAGAGAAGAAAGTCTGGGATCCCCAAACTGTGGTGTTGGCCGTCGATTTACAACAACAGCGGCTCCTGACCCGATCCACACTCCCTCACAACTTATTTCAAAATCGCGCTCTCGCGCTGGAGTTCTTCATAATTGATGCAGAAATCGCGCTCTCGCTTCGGCGGCGCCGTGCTCCCAACTCTCAGGAAGCACGGTCTCATTCTGGATTTCCTTATGACGTACTTGCGAAGCGCACTATTGCTCGAGACCTCACCGCGCTTCCTGTAGGACGCACGCTTCAGCAGCCCGCCTGCCTGGGCCCGCCCTGCGAGCCCGCCCGTTAGAGTCTAACCGCCCGATCTACCCGTCTGGTTCTGCCACGTGTGTTCTGCTCCTAGCCCCCTCCTGCTACTCTCTCTCTCTCTCTACTTGTCCCTCCCTTCCATACGTCTTCTCTTCCCCTGCCGTAGGGGCTGCACGGTATTTACGCTGCACGTCGGAAATATACACCCCTTAATGGGGGTGCGATCAAAGACTAAGAGGGCGGGTACCGCGGGTTTGGGATATACGCGTTAAATGGCACGCGAGCGTATCAGAACGAACAGTCTTAATACGGTTGTTGTTGCTGCTGCTGTTGCTGCTGTTGTTGCTGCTTTTGGTGTTGTAGTTGTTGTTGCTGTTGTTGTCGATGGTGTTGCTGCTGATGCCGTTGTTGCTGCTGCTGCCGTTGTTTTTGTTGCTTTTGTTGTTGACGTCTCATTACTGAAAAATAAGTATTGTTGATCCCCCCTCCGGTGACCATTGTATTTTTCAATTGAAATGCTTCCCCCGGGGCTCGCACCCTGCTCTTTATCAGGGAGAGTCACTAGGCTCAAACTGTGCCCCTGGCCGCTGGTTTACAACAACAGCGGCTCCCGCCTGATACTTCCTCACAATGTATTCCCACATCGCGCTCTCACGCGGGACTTTCTCACCATTTGTATGCGAATCGCGCTCTCGCCTGGTACGTCATTGCAATTTATTCAGACGATGCGCCCAAGGCGCTCAGGAATCACGCTCTCGCTCTGGCTTTTCTCAAGATTTACTTGGGTATCGCTTGAGACTTCCTCGCGCTTCATGCAGGACCCACGCTTCAGCAACCCGCCTGCTCGCCCTGGTCGCCTGGGCCCGCCTTCCCGACCTGCCCGCTATGGGTCTGCCCACCAGATCTGCCCGTCTGGTTCTACCACTTGTTTTCTGATCCTTGCCCCCCTCCTGCGAATTTCTCTCGTGCTCCATTCTTCTGCCTCCCCCTTCCACCCGTCTTCCCTTCCCTTGTTTCAGGGGCTGCACTACATGCACGTGGCAGGTAAGGAAGATATACCCCCAAGGGGGTACGATCGAAAACGACGAAGGCGGGTACCGAGGGTTTGGGATATTCGTATTGGTTGACACGTGAGCAGATAGGAGCGAACATTCTTTAGATGATTGTTGTTGTTGTCGTTGTCATTGTCGTTGTCGTTGTCGTTGTCGTTGTCGCTGTTGTTGTTGAACATTATTTATGCTAAAGAATAATTATTGTTGGGCCCCCTGGTGCGCGCCCCCCCTGCGCCGCCTAGGCCGCAGCTACATTTTCATCATTTTCGTGAGGAAGCCTCAGAAAAGAGGGTGTGTACAGGATCCGGTTGTTTTGTTGTAATCCGCTTTCCCTTGCAAAAAACAATAGAAAATGACATTTCTTGTTCTAATATAATCAAATTTCAAGAATCCCTTGCAAAAAATAAGGTAAAGTGGACATTCGCGCGCGCAAGACGAAATCCTTCCAAAACCTTAGTGTTCGCAGCGATTTTAACATAAAAACATCAAAAAACCAATGGTTTTTCAACAAAAAATGTCAAAATCTCATCCCGCGCGCTCTTGCGGATTCGTAGGAAACCCAACACTTTTTAAACATTTCTGTCAAACGGGCTTTTGCGAGCAACTTTTTCGAACTTCTGCGACAACGGTTGCGCACCTGCCAGGGCCATCATCCCTGTCAAATAATACCATGCGGGACACATTCGTTTTTTCTTCGCGCGCGCACGCCGAAATCTCCAAAAACCATTGGGCTTCTTAAGAATTTTAGCACCGCGCATCATAAAATCACACGAATCGCACCGTAGGTCCTCGAAAAACACCTGCACGACTTTTCAAAATTTCTACCCGCGCGCGCTGTCCGAATCCTAAAAAACCAATGGTTTTCCAACATTTATGTTACATGAGCTCGCGCGAGCTACTTTCGCACGCTCTTGCAACGGGGTTCGCGCGCCTGCCAGGGGCCACAATCCCTTGCGGTTGCGCCATAGGTTGCGCCCTCGGCCGCCGAGAATAAAACGTCCCCCTATTGGTTGCGCCATAGGTTGCGCCCTCGGCCGCCGAGAATAAAACGTCCCCCTACTGGTTGCGCCATAGGTTGCCCCAGGAGGCCTTCAAGAGGCCCCAAGAGCCCGCCGTGAGGACCCAACAGGACAACCATCGGGACAACCATCGGAACAACCATCGGGACAACCATCGGGACAATCATCGGGACAGTCATCGGGACAACGATCGGGACAAGCACAACCATCAGGACAACCATCGGAACAATCATCGGGACAACGATCGGGACAACCACAACCATCAGGACAACCATCGGGACAACCATCGAGACAACCATCGGGACAACCATATCCTCTCTCTCTTGTGTATTCCCACATCCCTCAGGAATTTGCCCTAAAGATGTGATCAACTATCTTGTGAGTACGTATCATGTGTATCATGTGTATCATGTACCATATGCATCATATGCAACAGATGTTCTGTGGAAGGCTTAACAACTTCTGTGGGTTAACAAGGCTTAACAACTTCTGTGGGTGTACGAACGTAGGCTTAACAACTTCTGTGGGTGTGTACTCCACGCCAGTGTAGTAGCCACGGTCGTCCGCAGGCCACGAAGTGAAGTGTCCGAACGTCATAGGGCGGGAAGCTGGGTGTGGGTGGTGGCGAAGAGTCGTGTGGATATTTGGTAGAGCTTGCACTGCCCCCCCACAAAGTGGGGGTATTGGCTGGCGTCGCATGAAAACCCTGGCACTGGTGAGAACACTGAGCGTTCGGGTAAAGTGATTGTTGTTGTTGTTGTTGTTGTGGTTGTTGGTTGTTGGTTGTTGGTTGTTGGTTGTTGGTTGTTGGTTGTTGGTTGTTGGTTGTTGGTTGTTGTTGTTGTTGTTGTTGTCGTCGTCCCACTCGCGACCCGGCCCGCCGCCCACCCGCGACCCCCGACCCGCGACCCACCCGCGACACGCGCGTCCCGCCCGCGACCCACGTGCGACCCACTCCGCGACCCACCCGCGACCCGACCGCGACCCATCCGCGGCAGCTCCTGGGGCCGCGGACTGCCAAACACGTCTCGGCGGATGTCTAGGCAGGATGAACGGCCAGTCTTATGTTGCTCCCGTCGCACTTAAGGACCGCATCCCAGAAATACTGTCGAGCGCCAGGAAAAGTGTCGAAACAGTGCCGAAACAGTGTCGGACGAGTGTCTCCTCCCAGGGCCCGGCACGTGAAAACCATTGACTTTCGACACTTTTTCGGGGCCTCCAGATTCTTCTTCGCGATCAAGGCTAAAGTAGGCCAGAACATCACAAGGCCAGCCCAGCGGGAAGAGGCCCAGGCCTTTCCGGAGCCGCGCAGAAAAAATCATCACGCTGCCAGATGCCCGGGAAGGGGGCGCGGGTCTGCACGGGCGAAGGCTGCGGAGGAGTAGGTCTCCGGGCCTTCCCCGAAGGGGCCGCAGCAGGACAGGGTCGGAGGGCATCGCGCCGCACCAATGGTGCACCGGCGATTCGGCGCGGCCCAGAGCGGCCATCTAGGAGGAGACGAGGAGGAGGAGGAGGAGGTGCTCCTCCTCCTCCTCCTCCTCCTCCTCCTCCTCCTCATCATCATCATCATCATCATCATCCTCATCCTCATCCGCACCCCCACGTCGCAGACGCATCCTCTGGCCTCATCTATGAAGCCGCCAGGTGGCGGCCGTCGACGAGGGGGCCGGGGCAGAGGCCGGGGCAGAGGCCGTGGAGGAGCGCGGCGGGGCCAAGGCGGGGAGGGCGAGGAGTGAGCTGGACGAGTTCCTGCTGAAGACCACGCGCGAGAGGGCCAGGGAGGAGGCATCGCGGCGGACGCCCGCCGGGGCGAAGGTCGGGGCCGCGCGAGGGACGCAGGTGGAGGAGAGGGGCAGGGCGGAGCTGCTGTTGGAGACCGCGGGCAGGAGGGGCGGGGAGCTGAGGTCGCGGCAGCCGCCCGCAGGGAGAGGCGCCGTGGAGGAGGCACGGGCGTCTGACGAGCAGAGTCCGCTCATCCTGGCCTGCCTCCTGCTGCTCCTCCTCGTCTTCTGCTTTCAGGTCGCCAGCTAGGGCCTCGGCGGAGTCGTCGCAGTTCTCGTTGTGTTGTGTTCGCCTGGCTCGTGCAGCGCCTCCTCTGGCCCGGCGCTCCTCCGTTCCACGCCGCGGCGCAGCCCGGCTGCGGCGCAGCCTCGGCGGAGGAGGAGGAGGAGGAGGAGGAGGAGGAGGAGGAGGAGGAGCAGGAGGCGGAGGAGGCGGAGGAGGCGGAGGAGGATGAAGTTCGGGAGGCGGAGCTGGCCCGCCTAACCACCTGCGGATTGCAGAAGTCGTCCGTGCGCTGGGCGCCAGGTGCCAATATTTTTTGTAGGATGACGCCAACCAGACCCCAACACCGCGCGCGGCTGGCCTGGGCAGGACCAGCGTGGGTGCATGTTTCAGGGGCAACGATGGGGGGGGATAGGCACAGGGGGGATGCATCGACCCCCAATCGCCGATTTCAGGTCGATGCATCCCCCCCTGAGCCTGTCCCCCCCCAATGTTGCCCCCCAATACTTTGCCTCCCCTTCCCCTCGGAGGAGGAACAGTTAAGCCAACATGCGCTGCAGGAGAGGTCCGCGGCGTGGCATTCCGACGTCGGCGCCGTGCCCCCCCCCCCCCCCCCCCCTGGCGGCGCTTCCCGCGGCGCTCCCTGGCACGCTCCGCGCGCCAGGAAGCGTGGCCCAGCGACGATCCAAGGAAGCCGCGCAGACATCCGAATCTGCGCTTTCATGCGTTACGTTTTGGGAAGACTTGCCCCGGCCAGGGATGTTTGGGGGAAGACTTGCCCCGGCCAGGGATGGCCGGAGGGGATGGGCCAGGGTCGGCCACGGGGGTGCCCCAGGTTTGGCCGGAGGGCTGGCCTGCGTAGTTTTGCAATCTCTGCAGCTCGTGGCTCCTCTTCCAGACGCCCCTCCCCACGCATCCAGTGTATCGTTCGTTCCCGTGCGGCGTCCCTGGAGGGCCCGACCCTTTCCCCCGGGCCGGTCCTTCATCCCGAGCAGTTTCTTGACGGTCCTTGGGCCCAGCGGGGGCCCCCGGCGGCAGAAAACGTCCAGCCATTTCCGTCGTTGGTTTTTGCCAGACGCGAGCGTGTCGAGGCCCCCAGCCCCTTCGCTCCTCCTCCCCTGTGCGGGCAAGATGCACATCCACATCCACTGCGTCTTGGACATTCTGGAAGGGGGCGCGACAAGGTCGTGGCGCATGGATGTGGATACACAGCGGGCCTCGGGGGCCCAGATGTTTATCCATGCCCGCTGCGCCCTGGGTGTCTTGGGAAGGGGGCCCAAGACTCCAAGATGCAACGGATATGGATAGACATCTCTCCCGCGCCCTGGCATCGCGCGCAGCGAGGAGCCCGGGCGGGTCCGACCTCGGTGCCGCGGGCCCCCCGGCGCCCTCCGCGGCGGCGCCGCCCTGGCGGCGGCGCCCTCGGGCCGCCTGCAGTGTGAGGGGGTGGATTACCGACCACGCTCCCTTGAAGAGTAAGCCACGGAAGCTTCCGCTCGTCTTGGATTGAAACGGCATCGGGGCATATCGCCCAGTAGCGCTCGATGGCGCCCATAGCGCCCAGCGCCGAACACGATTAGCGCTCAAGTACCTCGTGCCCCAAAGCGGCCAAGAGTGCCCAATACCGCCATGTGAGGGAGATGCGCAAGGTCCGCTTGGCGCACGATTGTGCGCGCTATGGGCGCAATGGGAGCGACAACAAGCTTCTGTGAGTTGCGTTCTGAAATTACCTGCCCCGTTTTCGCTTCCAGGCGAAGCCAAGTCATACCACGCACCGCCTCGTCTAGCTGCCTGACCGTTGCGGGCGGTCCCATGGGTAGCTCTGTATCGCTTTCTTCGCGTCTGGAGGCGAGGGTGGTCAAACGCGAGGTAGGCCCGCTTGCCTCTGATTTAGATCCGTGTGCCGCACAGGTTGGGGTTAGGCGCCTGTTTGTTTGTTTTATCCGCCCATGTCTTTTTCAAGATCGGCCCAGCGCCGGGCGCCAGGTGCGGCCGCACCCGCCCGCGACCCCCGGCCGCACGGCGCGGGAGGTGGACCTGGTGCGCCCCCCGAGGGAGCGCGATCTGAGGTCCGGGGCCGAAGGCTGCCGGCGGTGGCCCTGGCCCGAGGCGACCCCGGCCCGTCCAGGGAGGCCCTGGGTGGCCTCCGGGGCGACCCTGCCGAAGATTCCAGGTGGCGTGGAAAGGAGGAGGAGGAGGAGGAGGAGGAGGAGGACGAGGAGGAGGAGGAGGAGGAGGAGGAGGTGGAGCAGGAGGAGGAGGAGGAGGTGGTGGAGGAGGAGGAGGAGGAGGAGGGGGGTCGGCGGCGGCATCCGAACGCTGCCCTCGCCGATCGGCGATGTGGGCAACTCGAGGGGCCGCGGGGGAACGCGCGGCAAAAAATCCGAAGCCTGCCCCCGCCTCCCATCGATTCAGGAGAATCTCAGGAGGGAGAAAAACACACAGACACAATTTATCGTCGATTCCTCAGAAAGTATTGGAAAATATGGGAAGTGGTGGGGAAGACAAAAGCTCGGAAAACATGGAAAGTATAGGGGAATCGTTTTATCTGTGTGTATTTATTTGTGTGTCCTGGGGCCCCTTCAGAATCGCTGGTTGGCGGGGGGGCCACCCCGAGGGGCGCCCTGGGACAGGGCCACTTCCTGGCAGCCTCCGGCAGGGGAGCGCTCGGAGCGCCCGCACGGGGGCGCAGGACCACACGGCGTGGTGCCATGGCCCAGGGCCAGCGTGAAGAACGCCTGCCATGCGCGCCAGCGCGCGCAGGTGTGCGCGTCGAGCCTGGCAAAAAGGCTGGCGTCGTCGAAGCAGGGGGCGAGGAGGAGGAGGAGGAGGAGGAGGAGGAGGAGGAGGTGGAGCAGGAGGAGGAGGAGGAGGAGGAGGAGGACGAGGAGGAAACGGAGGGGAGGTGATGAGATGAGGCGGGTGAGGAGGAAGAGGGGGGAGGAGGAGAGAGGGGGAGGGGCTCCTCAAAAGGGTAGGCCGCACCCAGATCCGGTCCCAAGACGGCCCAAGAGGCCTCCAAAAGGGCCTCCAGGAAGGCCAGAAAAGGCAAAACAAATGATTTTCCTTAGGATTTTGGCATTTGCTTCTTTTCGGCCTTCCGACGGCCCGAGATGGCCCAAGAGCACCCGAAGATCGCCCAAAGATCGCCCAAGAGGCTTCCAAGATGGGCCCAGAACGGCCCAAGAGGCCCCCAAGACGGCCCCAAGAGGCCCCCAAGACGGCCCAGGAGACCTTTCAGACACCCAAGATGGCCTCCAGACGGCCCTGGAGCATTCCAAGAGGGCCCCAAGTCGGCCCAGAGAGGCCCCCCAAACGGCTTCCGACGGCGTCGGACGGGCCAAAAGCCCACCAAGACGGCCGAAGATGGCCCTGAGATGGCCCAAGACTGCCCAAGAGGCTTCCAAGAGGGCCTCCAGGAAGGACCTAAAAGGCAAAATCATTGATTTCCCATGAGTTTTTGAAGGATTGTGGCATTTGTTTTTTTTCGGCCTTCCGACGGCCCGAGACGGCCCAAGTGCCGTGCCCCCAAAGATCGCCCAAGAGGCCCAAGACGGCCCCAAGAGGCCCCCGAGACGGCCCCAAGAGGCCTCCAAGACGCTCAAGATGGCCTCCAAGACGGCCCAAGAGCCCTCCAAGACGTCCTCCAAGAAGGCCCGAAAGGGTCAAAATGGCCTCCCGACGGCCAAGATGACCTTCAAGATGCCCACGTGTTCCCCGAAGGCTTCCCAAGCCGATTCGGGGAACACATGATCCGATAGCTTGGCAGGTCTGGCCTCAACGTTCGGCCACATAGTTTCCAAAAAGGCAGGGGGCGGCCGTGATTCGCCGTAGGCGTCTTCGATACATATACGGGTAAGCCTAGGCCACGCAGCACCCAGAAGACGCAACAGCGACTCTCCCCCGAGGGGTCGGCGGTGCGACGTAAGCCAAAGAATCACGACGTCGGATGCCTGGGACAGACCCCAGCTTCGAGCCAACTTCGGCCATCTTGGTGGATTCCTGGCCCGTCTGACGCCGTCGGGAGCCGTCTTGGGGGCCTCTCTGAACCGACTTGGGGTCCTCTTGGGGCGCTTCGGGGCCGTCTTAGAGGCCATGTTGGGCGTCTTGGAGGTCTCTTGGGCCGTCTTTGGGCCCTCTTGGGGCCGTCTTGGAGGTCTCTTGGGCCGTCATGGGACCCTCTTGGAGGCCTCGTGGGCGATTTTGGGGCGATCTTGGCGGCCTCTCGGGCCGTCTTGAGCCGTCGGAATGCCGAGAAGAGGCAAATGCCAAAATCCTTCAAAACTCAATGGCAAATCAATGATTTTGGCCTCTTCGGGCCATCCTGGAGGACCTCTTCGAGACCTCTTGGGCCGTCTTGGGCCGGCTTGGAGGCTTCTTGGGTGAGCTTGGAGGTATCTTGGACCCTCTTGGGCCGTCTTGGAGGCCATCTTGGACCATCTTGGGCGGACTTGGAGGCCATCTTGGGCGAGCTTGAGGGCCATCTTGGCCGTCTTGGAGGCCATCTTGAGCCGTCTTGGAGAATTTGTTGTGGACGTTGAGGTCGTTTGCGGGCCTGGAGCTCCCTCCTGGGACCCCAGCGGGACGGGTCGAAGCGCCAGGGGGAGTTCTTTTGGAAAAAGAACCAAAACCGTAAGAAGTCCAGCACGCCAGGCACCCCTGTGATGAATCAACAGGGGGCGGCGGATCGAAGACGCCTACGGCGAATCACCGCCGCCCCCTGCCTTTTTGGAAGTGCCTATGTGTCCGACAGCTGGGCTAGAGCTTGGCCAAGCTATCGGACCATGTGTTTCCCGAGTCGGTTTGGAAAGGTTTCGGGGAACGCGGGGGGGGGGAAGGGGAGGAGGAGGAGAACGAGGAAAAAGGAGAAGGGGGAAAATGCCTCTTCGGAGCCTCTTGAGGCACTCTTGGGCTCGATTGGACCATCTCGGGACCGTCTTGGAGGTCATGCTGGGGCTATTTTGGGCTCTCTTGGGGCCTGTTGAGGGCCTCTTGGGGCCCTTTGGGGGCTTCTCGAGGGCCTCTGT